AATTTACGAAATGATGACTTTAAACGAGACTGTTGATATTCTTATTTCATCAACTTGCTTGTCAATAATTTATCTCGTTTAAGAAATTGTTCATACGTAGAGCATGCTCTTGCGTATCGAATCAACTGAGATATAAGGTATATTGCTGCATAAGTAAGGGAAGTTGACGATAGCAAAGTTAAAGTCATCACGTTTATCATATAGCTTGGTTGTTAGATTACCATTAGTGTCTTTTTCAAGTAAAATATCCAGGTATGAAGCAGAAGTGTCGGACTCGGTGGTATCTTTTATCTCAAGCTCACCAGGATATATCGTGTCGACGTAGGAATGGAAATGATCATTATTAATTGACAATACGTCGTCGATATATCTAAATGTCGAGTTGAAGGCCACAGCAAGTGTTTTCTTCTTTTCACGCATAAGATTTTGCATAAATTCTGCTTCATATGAATATAAAAATGTCTGCTAATAACGGAGCGCAATTTGTACCCATGGGAATTCCAATAGATTTTTGGAATACCTGGTCTCCAAAAACCACAAAGATATTGTCAATGAGAAACTCAAGCTTCTTCTTGATGTCAAACTGTAGCGTAATGGTTTTATATTGTCTTTGACCATAATGGTCAAAACAATAACGCTACAGATCTGCAGCTAGTAACTTGCCAAAGTATCTTTCAATCTCTGTTAAAATGTTAATAGTCCATGAGCCAGGCCATGAATTTTTCGGTATCGGTACCATCTCGGGTGAATAATTTTCATAGTTAATTTATGAAGGACATACATCTCTACCTTCAAAAAATGTACGATAGCATTCAATTGTGGCTTTAATGATGTATCAACTGTTTATATACACCAACCCAACATGTTGGTTCTCTCAGCTGTGTTTTTGAAAGAAGAAGGTTGGTTTTTCAATACGCGATTTCTATCTTATTTCTGGTGATATTTTCTTGAAAATTCTTTCGAATGCAGACCATGCTATTACCCTGTTCAGGTATTATTCAATATCGGCTCTGTAATGAAGCGTCTAAATTATATACGAATATAATTCTACCATTGATCATAAAAGTGGAATATGCAATTTTGAAAGTTTAATCAAAGGAAAAAAAATAGTACTGTGACAATTTTCACACCAAAAACATATTTCATGGTCATTTTATTTAAAGAATTTTATCACGTATTAATATTTTCAAAATGTTATTTCAGAACAAATATACATAACTTGATTTAATAGTGAATCTTTATCCCTATCCTAATAATGAAATTTGAAGGAAAACTACCTGATTTACCCTGTGCGTGTATTCTTTATTTACTTAAAAAAATAATGTGAATATGTCAGATCTCAAGTAGAGCCTTTATGTAAAATGTTTTATTCATTTAATCTCAAGCTAAACCATGGTGATAATGGACACTTGAATGTTCATCTAAGTTAAACCTGTAATATTTTTTTTGACATCAAAATTAAGCAACATATGTGCACAATCATATATGTGCTTTGTGGGCAGTGGGCTGTGTCTCACGACCTGCAATGGCCTGACGCCTCTTCCCTCCACTAGTCCGGGTAGAGGGAACCCGTACACTCTTAAGGGAGATCCCTCTAGGAGAGCACTCTCTAAACAAAGCACTGACGGGCGTCAAACCCTGTTGATTGAGGGCTTGCCTACCTATATCGGATGTAAAGACTGTGCACCGGCGAAAAAACCGCCAAGGTTCAACGGAGGAGAAGGCGGGTGCAGCAAGCACCGTGGAATGCTTGGAACAAGGCAAGGTACATATAGCACGTCTTAGTCATCCGCTGCATCTGTCTCCATCTCCAGACGTCCTGGCATTTGTCTTGCCACTTGATCTAGATGGTTGCGGGCGAGAGGGTGAGGTCGGCGACGCGCAACATTTCTTCATTTTAATCAATCTCATCGCGCAAGTCATTGATCATATTCAATTCCTTCTATCATCCAACCAAAACCCTGTGGCGATAGGCGAGCAACGAATGTGACAGGTGCGGGTTCACTGGAAGTCGCTTGTCGCGGACCTGCACGTTCAAAACGTCTCAACGTTGGTAAGCTCAAGTTGCCTTTCACCTCTCAGTACTTTGCTGACACCCTGGAAGTACACCTGAACTCCACCGTGCTGGATGACCACGATGTGGAAGCAGCATGGAACACACTTTGTAATGCAGTGTACAATACAGCCTTCGAGTGTCTTGGGCCCTTCACCAAAAAAAAAAGAAAGACTGGTTTGATGAGAACCGTGCCGAGATCACGTAGCTTCTAGAGGACAAACATCGCACTTACAAGGCTCATATAGATGAATCCACCTCCACAGCCAAAAAGACGCTCTGGGGAACGCTCGCAGCATAGTACAGCAAAAGATTCGTGATATGCAGGACTCCTGGCTGAATGCCAAAGCTGTCGAGATCCAACGCCACGCCGAACCTCATGACAGGCCCAGGAAGAACTTTCACTGTGGACTTGGGAAAGTCTAAGGGCCAACTCCATCAGTCTCTATCCCTCTCCTCAGTGATAACGGGTTAACACTCATCACTGAGAAGGAAGATACTCGACAGGTGGGCGGAACATTTCAATGGCGTTCTGAACCATCAACGACGAAGCCATCAACCGACTGCCCAGGTTCCCATCAACCAGTCACTGGACACCGTTCCCACGTGGGATGAGATCCAAAAAGCAATTAGTCTGTTAGCAATTGGCAAAGCACCTGGTGGATACTCCATCCCAGCTGAGATTTACAAAGAAGGGGGCGTGGCTCTAGTCGAAAAACTCCTTCATCTGCTTGTGCGAGCATCGGCCTGACCAGTCACCTCTGCACCCACCGTCCAGGTCATCCCCTCCCCCACGAAGATGAGACGATGGTCATCTTCGTCACCGACGGACGAATAACTAATAGAAACTAGTAAATGTGCGTTGGTACTTATCTTTTTCTTTATACAATTTTAGGTACATGTAATTGTTGAAAAAAAAGTGGTAAAAATATGCAATTTTTGTTAGAATCACGGCTAGTAACTCTTTTAATATGTTCATCAAATCTAGGAGTGATTCTGGTAGAACTTTCTATCACGGTTGGCAACTGTGTGACAAATACTTTGCAGGTTGTAAATATATTTAGCTCAAAATACCTAATTTGAGCAAATAAAGGGTAATAACTGTGTCTCAAGCATTGAAGCCTCAACAGATTTGATGCTATCACACATTTTCTCACTAGTTAGGGATATACCTTACCAAATATCACTATAAAGTTTATTCACCCAAAATGGTACTGACCACCCCCAGTGACTCATGGACTATAAGGACAGTCTCTTGAATATATCTCTGAAATAGCTTATCTGTATAAATGACTTGGCATCCACCCTTGTCACGGTCTAGGACTGACCGTCAATGTAACTCAAATTTTTCAATTTTGTCCATTTCTATGTATTTGCTATACCCGTATACCGGAATAAACGAGTCGTGACTTCATGTTAGAATCACAGGCTTTCAGATCGCTTAGAAAAAAGAAATTGAGGTGTTGGAAAAAAAAATAAAGGTATGGAACTCTTTTCATGGGGTACCTACTTTCGCCAGTAAAATTCTTTTAAATCAAATGCTTTACAATTTTACTTTCTATCCATATCTGTTCAAATATAAACAATCTTCATTACTACCAAATTTCATTCCGTAATTCCTTATACTTCTCGAGATATTCTGAAATCAATTCCCAAATGGACAATAATTTTTCTACTCGACATCAGCTTGGGCCTTCACTAATTGTAAAGCGGGAAAGACGGGACAAATTTTTCCCGGAATTTATTCTAAACTCAATGAATATTTGCTCATTTGCATTCAAGCTTTACAAGGTTTTTCTTTAGTTTGATCTTATGGTGTAACTAAGTTATAAACAACATTTTAACTAATTGTTTTGAAAATCGAAAGGTATATAATGCATTCCGGGAAAAATTCGTTCTACCATGGCTTCATTTACATTCGTAATCAACATGGCGGTAGTTGTTGATGTAGACGTTTTCAAATTTATTTTTCGCGAAAGAAATATTATTACGGACTTAACGTTACAATCTGGAGTAAGAAATCAACTTTAAATTGTTGAAAGATTTTGCAAATACTATGCAACTCTTCGCCGCACTTCAAACACCATCTATTTACATGTGAATGACCAGGGGCCCAAGCTAATGTCGAGTAAAAGAAAGGTCATTTTTGAAATTGATTTCAGAATATCTCAAGAAATATGTGGAATTTCGGAATGAGCTTTGGTAGATTGAAGAATGTTTATCTATGAATAGATTTAAATAGAAAGTAGAATTTTAGAGCATTAGAATAAAAAATATTTCATTAGCGAAATTAGGTACCCAGTGTAAGAGTTCAGTACCTTTATTTTTTTTACACACACAATTTTTTTTTAAGCGATCCAAAGGCCCGTGTTTAGAATACACAACAATATTTCTGAATATCTTGTACCATACAGATAATATCCGTGTAGTTCGGTAGTGAAATATAAAAGAAGAACTTGGATGTATAATTTTATCAATTTATGTACTAAACTTAAGGTAAATGTATTGCTTGATATACAAACAAAATTTAAAAAAAAAAAAAAAAAAAAAAAACAAGGAGGGGATGGAAGGATTGCACGCCCGGTGCTTGATACGCCTTTGATTTGTTACAACCCATATTTCTATGAAATAAAAGCATATATACATGGAAGGAGTATGTACGTGAGTATTGTAACACTAGATTTACGCGATCGTGTAATAAAAATCGTTGGTTATGTTCGTACTTATGTTATATAGTCATAGTGTGTATATTTTTAGAGAGTTCTTAGGCAATATGTTTCATGATATAGTTTTCATCTTTTCATCAGTTGTGTAGGTAAGTCAAAAAATTTTAAAATATAAGTTAAAAATTTTGGATTCAATTTTATTGATAACACATATATGAGTTCTTAAAATCAATTTCATTAAAAAAAATTAGACAAAAAAGACTAAATTAGAGGGTAAAAGTGTCTCAGTCCAGATGTACAAGATCTCTTTCATGGGAATAGTTCCGCAAGCCTTTCTGAAGTCCTTTCTAACCATCATCTGTGAGAAAGTTAAAAATGTAAAAAGTCATATTTAACTTCTTTATCTCAGAGTATGTACATATACGTATAAATGAAAGAAAATTTAGTTGTTTGAATTGAAAATTTACTGTGGCAGGCCAGACGTCATTTTACCGCACAACTTAATTTAAACAATATTTTATTCACTGATGTTATCGTGAATAGGATTGGGCAGCACGTGCAGCCTATTTTAGCCCTCTCTCTCTATCGCATAACTTATCACTTGCGTATCAGGTTATAAGCCACAGTGAAAATGAAATTATCAAAGAAATATAGAATGTTTTCTTTAAATGAATATTGTTACCTATTTATGCCGCCTGATCATCATCAGTGTCCTTTTGATAGAGGACCCGGATTCAACAGAAGGATACCAAGGCCACTTCCAACTATCTGAATACCAGGGACCGTTCAGGAAGGCGCGGTAACACGCTTTGAACCACCAGCCTCCTCCATAAGCAGCACAGTTTATATAACTGAATTTGTCGTTGTCTCTGTCGTGAGTAGAGAAATACATCCCAGACAAGTCACGTGTTCCATCCCCGGTGTTCAGCATACTGTCACCTGTTTCATTTAAAGAAAAAAAACTGACTTCATACTTTTATGTTCTGGGTAAAAATATATTCTTTTTAAAATAATACAGTTGTTCCACCATTATAAGTCTTTGGTAACTGGGTGCAAACAATACCGTAACCAGTGAAAAGATGCAGGTATGATTTTTATTACAGATTTATGTACAAAAGTGAATTTTATGGCGACAAAAAATAGTTACCCAAAACGTTGTACATCGAATACAAACTAACGACACGTCGACAAGTTATCCTTCAAAGTTCACATTTGAATAGGTATTGAAAATAATTTCAGAAAGGTACAGTAAAATTCTGAACATCATAGAAATTGTCAAAATTCTCTATATTTTACAAATGTATTTTTCGAAACTTTCACATAATAAGCCATAAAAATACACACGATTAGGGAATCCTTTTTTTTTCTTCATCTGATTTTGTGTTCTAAAACTTGGTTGATGGAGGTTAACGAATGTTGAACAGATTGTTAGGTATATAGAGTTATCGCTCTATGTTTTTTTTTTTCATTTTAGCATTTAGCTAGCCCAAGATAGTAAGTTATATTTACGTGACATGTTTATACACGGGGTTAAATATAAGGATTATCAAGGTGTCAGGTCATTTGCGGTATGCCTTACGTACTGTTCAAAGACGAGTTCCAATGTCAGTCAAGCAATCGATATAAGAAAGCTGCTGCTCTGTGATGATCAAGATTGCTATCATTCAATTTAGATTAATTGTAAAATGCCCCTCTGGAGATTTTCTCACGCCAACACTTGCCAATGGAGAAAGAAATTTTGACTTAAGTCAAATTTTTAATCGCCTATAAAATTAATTATTTCAAAATTTGCACATAACAATACCTCAGTGAAACAAAATTTAATGAAACGGATAGACGCAAAGACAAACAGGAAGTTGAGCAAAAATATATCCCACCATATGACATGCCTCAGAGAAGATTGTGTTAAAATTTCAAGCATCTACGATAAGTAGTTGTTGAGAAAACTGCGACGAAAATTTGTAATGTATGAAACGAGAAGATGCACAGACAAACAGGAAGTTGACATCGGATTTAAAGAAAAAAGGATCCCACCATATGGCATGCCTCAGAGAAGATTGTGTTAAAATCTACGATGAGTAGTTGCTGAGAAAACTGCGACAAAAATTTGTTACAGACGGACACAGCTACACAGACACACACACAAGGGTAACACAGTATACCCCCTCTCCTTCGGAGCGGGGGTATAAAAAATATTTTAATTCTTGTCTGCTTGGCTTTTACATTTTATTATAAAATAAAGATTTTGACTTTGAAATAAAGATACCGGGGCCCTGCACTATTTGTCCAACACTCGGCACTTAGGGCCATTAAGCAGGGATGGATCTTTTTTCATGTCGGCACCTACTGCAACATGGGACCTCGTTTATACTTTATACGGTCTGATCCGAAGGGCCGGTGTCTGCGTCGCACAGTAAGGATGAACTCCTTACTTCGAAACTTAGATGAGGCGATCTGACCATTTCGCCACGGGGGTGACTTGAATTTTCTTCTACTGTTAAAACACATTTTTTCTTGGGGTCTTGTTTTTTAGGAAATATTTGTTCGAAGGTATTCGATCTCGTGGTTGATGAATTGCTGACTGCTGTTATTTATTTGAAATTTTACATAGGTTTTTTATGCATTTCCTTGTATACACAATAAAATTAACGAAAATTAAAAGATCCAAGAAATTTAGCTGCTTAGAAATTGATAAACCTTTTAAGATATTGAAATTTGTAATACCGTTTTCAACATATTTTTAAAAGCAAAGACATGCATGTGTTATGTACATGTAACATTTCAAATATGTAAAACTGCAATCCAATTAATACATTACGTTATCGATGAAATGAATGCTATTTGTAGGTCACCTGAGTACATTTTCAGTTTCTCCTCTGAAACCACTGAACCAATTTCTACCAAATTTGGTATACATCATCTATGGGTAGAGGGGAACATAAATTGTTACTTTTATGGTCCCCGCCCCCCTGGGGCCTGAGGGGTGAGGCCAAAACTACTAAAATTATTGCAATCTTTAAAAATCTTCTTCTTTACTCCTGTACATCAAGCAGGCAAATTGTTGGCAAGAATGTAATAAACGTTGAGTCCTCTACCAAAATTGTAAAATTCATCGCCCCAGGGTCAAGGGTTCTAGTCCTAGGGCGGGGCTATATAGTTTATATAGTGAAAATGCACTATTTCTTTGAAAATCTTCTTTGCTCCTGGGTATTAAATAAAGTAACAAAGCATATACTTAAGATGAGCCAGAAAGCTTCTTCCAAAATTGTGAATTTTATGGCCCCAGGGTCAGTGGTTCTGTTGTTAGGGCGGGGCTCTATTTATTATATATTGAAAACGCATTATTTCTTTGAAAAGTTTGAAATATGTGGCCGCAGGTTCAGTTGTTCCGTTGGGGTTAGGTGCAAAACTGGTTATAAAGTGGAAGTGCAGTTCTCTTTGTTACTTTGATCTATCTCTGGGTATTAAGTAAACAGAGTAAGCATGCTATGTTTATAATTATGAAAAGCAATGGTGCATCTTTCAAAATTGTGAATTTCATGGCCTCTGGTTTAAAAAAAGTTAATTGTTTGAAAATTGTTACGTAATACTCAGGTGACCTATAAGGCCCGTGGGCCTCTTGTTTATATATATATATATATACTTCTAGGATGCCGCTTTTCTCTTCTTTAATGTCCTAGTACGTAATATTTTTGTACTTTAAAGCTGACACAAGTAACAGCTTTTAAAAAGCTTGCCTGACTAAATCAATCAATATATGCATGAGGAGTGTTAAACCTTTTGAGCAATACTTTTGTTGTTGAAAACCTTGCGTAAAAGAAATCTTGATTTAACATGTATTTAACTTTTAGAAGAATCATCTCTACACTGCATACATCTTCGCTAGCCAACGGTTTCTGATTCCTCATGAGGAGAGTAGCGTATCAGAAACCCTTGGTTATCGAGGATGCACTAGTTGGTATTCTGAAGGGGGGGGGGGTCTGCAAGTGAAGAAATCTGCCCTGGGATCTAAATTGATTTCGAACTTCTTTGTAACACCTATTATAAAATCTGTTACCAAATCATGCATTGTCAACATTCTTAAAGAATAGATATAATTAAATACACTTTTTGTTGGAGTGTATTTTCTCCACTGAAGTAAAAAGTAGTTATGTGTTCATTATTTCTTTTTCTTAAAGTGGGGGGAGTCCCACTGTCATATATAGAGAATGAAATAAGTAAATTCACTACTTAGACCTGTGTGGAAAGAAAAATCCAAGATTTTGCACTTGTTTCTTATTTATTATGTGCATCTGAACAGAGACATATTCATATAATTGTTCATGCATCTTGAGACCATGACTTTGTTGAAATGCGTTCTTTATTATTATTGGACTAGTCCATTTCTGGAATAAACCAACCGCGGAATCGGGAAACAAATTAGAAAAATCATTTCTTTTCTAGTGTTGCATGTCCGTATACTGATATTTATACGATTTGCTGTTTAAAAGAATGAGATAAAACAATTATTTGTAGACAGAATTTCTGAAACATTGGAAGGAGGTTAAAAGGATAAACTCTAATTCCATGGAAGTTAGAACACCCATTTGTACAATAGAACAATCCAAGGAAAAGGCGCGAAGAAAGCAGTGACTTTTGGCGCGAACAGAGCGATTCACCCCTTTCGTAGATATAAATGGACTGATCCAGTAGTATAGAAATGCAGAAAAAAAGATACATGTACACGGACATGTTGAAACGGTGAATCACATGGAATAATCGTTACATGCAAAAAGATTAAAGGAAGTAAACACTACAGTATTTAGCATCAGTAATGTCATTCTTTTTTCTGAAAACTGTTTCTTTTAAAGTGCAGGTAAAGAATTCCAATGCAAATCTAGCTCTTCAGGTATGATCTATTAGTTTAGGATTTTGCAAATATCAATCCTTATACAGCCTGACGCCGTGACGTCAGGCAATGAATTCTTAACGAGACCCAGGGGCCACAGCGCTCACCTGAGCACATCGGCTAAGAATAATTACATGTCAGATCAGAACTGAAAGTTTACTGAATGGGGGTGGGGTGGGGGCTTGAATTTTAAGCCCACAGGGGATCATGATTTTAACGAACTAGAATCTACAGTACGTTACCTGAGGATGATTCCACATCAGTTTCATCTTTCCTGGCCCAGTGGTTCTTGAGAAGAAGATTATTAATGATTTTTCCTTTATACTCCTATGTAAAACTTTGATCGGCCATTTTGGCCCCACCCTACCCCCGGGGTCATGATTTTAATAAACTTGAATCTACACTACCTGAGGACGATTCCACATGAGTTTCATTTTTCCTGGCCCAGTGGTTCTGAGAAAAAAATTTTTAAGGTTTTTTCTATTTTGATCATCCATGTACAGCAGAATAAACCCGTTTATTGTGTATGAAAAATTATAAATAACTTTATAAAATCAAGTTATATTTATTAAATTATTAGGTCTATGTTTTATATAAAATAACAAAAACTAGATGCGACTTCCTTGCGAGCAACGAGTAGGTCTTACATTTGATATCTGATGGAATAATACCTGTGTTGGGATAATTCGATTGATAGGATAAAATGTAAAAAGGCACAAGGATTCTTCAACATATGTTCAGAAACACAAAAAATGTGGGATCTATCAATTCCAATCAACTTCCGGTTCTTCTTATTCATTTCCGGTGCGACCGTATGTGCTCAAAACGACTTTCAACTCTTCATCAAGCATGCAGTAATCTTACCCGAAAGTTTCGATCGAAAATACTCATTTTAGACAACTTCCGGTTCGAACGAACCATACTTTCGGTGGAAATATTAAGATGCTATGCATTCTTTAAATCTCTATAATGAACATTTACATTCATTAGAAAATGAAGATAAAAAAATCGCTTTATTAAAACTACTTCCGGTTTACAACAGAAGTGTCGACGGAAAAAAATGAAAAATGAAAAAAATTAAATGTATGGATATTGTTGGGAACATTATTTTGACCATCTTTTGTTCAATATTGCTTATCAAAATATTCACGCTTTTCGAGATATAAAGCGTCAAAGATTTAGCATTCTAGCCCTGCGTGACCCCTTATTACGTAACATGTGATCAAACTTTATGAATATCTTTGCCTCAGTAATGTATCATAGAATATTGCTCATTAAAGAGTTAAAGATGAGAGACTTTTGGCCCCTCTAAGCCCCTAATTTGAAGTGCTAACCCCATTTTCTTTATATCAAATGAAAGATCTTACTATATTGCATATCTTTTATTATACATGTATATGTCTAAACAAAATATTAACAAGTAAAAAGATATAAACGAAAACGTGTCAAATTTTGCGAGATGCTTGTGAGCCTATTTTTTGAGCCCGGGCGAGCATCGATTCCCTTAAACCTGGAAAGGTCTATATGCAAAATGTCAAATCTACAATCCGTCCTCTACCTTCACTGAAAATCTCAACTAAATATCTTAAGTCGTTTAGGAGGAAATCTCAGGACAAGCCGACCCTCTAAAAATCAGAAAATCGCCCATATCTTGCGACCGGAAGTGACGTCATCGACTACGAAAATTTCCGACAAGGTTCAGATGAATATATATCAGATCTGAAAGTTTGGTGAAAATCGAGAAATCGCGTGCACAAAATCGGTAAGAAAAAATATTAATAACAGGGGAAAAGAAACCGAACGAAAACAATAAGGTCTTCCGTTGGAGACGAAAGACCTTAATAAAGCCAGTACACAGTATTTATTTGAAAATAATTGATCGTAAAGAAATCCTATCTTTTTCAGACGTTTGTTTGAATTATTTTTAGGAGAGTGTTATGCATGTTTATTACCCCCCCCCCCCCACACACACACACACAATTCCACATCACAGGGAAATGATTCTTAATAATGCCTGCTATATAAAAAAATTGATGCAGTCAAGCCATATTCATAAATTTTATTTACATACAAGAGTTTTTTTTAATATTTGCTTTTTCAGTATGCTTTCCACCTTTGAAATTTTCCCTGATTAAATAAACTGATCGGCATGGACCCAGTGTGTCCAACTGCTATGTATTCTTTTCTGTTGAGTTAGCAATGGATTTCAAGACTTCTGAGATGCATATTTCAAATAAAAGTAAAATAAGATATTTCTTTCGACATGTGCACATCCCTGTAACGAGAGAAGTATTTAGGTAAACGTTTGATTCGTTTTCTCGACCTGCTTGCGTGCATATCCAAACGGTTTTTGTTACATACACGAATGTATTCTGTGTTTGTTTTTAGCTCTACTGGTCAGAGACCAGAAGAGCTTATGCGATAGTAATGCGTCCGGCGTCCGTCCGTCTGTCTGTCCGTCTGTCTGTAAACAATTTTTCAAATCGCTACTCCTCCTACAATTTTAGTCTGATTTCAATATTACTCGGCACACAAGTAGACTACACTAAGATACATAGAATAGTGCATTGGTTTTTGATTTCGATGAACGTTGTTGCCATGGTTACTAAAAATAGAATTTTCTGTGAAATTCCTTTAAAACGCTACTCCTTCTACAGTTTTGGTCTGATTTCAATATAACTTGGCACACAAGTAGACTACACTTAGATACATAGAATAGTACATCGGTTTTTGATTTTGGTGAACGGTGTTGCCATGGTTACTAAAAATAGAATTCTTTGTGAAATTCCTTTAAAACACTACTCCTTCTACAGTTTTGGTCTGATTTCAATATAACTTGGCAAACAAGTAGACTACACTAAGATACATAGAATAGTGCATTGGTTTTTAATTTCAATGAACGGTGTTGCCATGGTTACTAAAAATAGAATTTTCTGTGAAATTCCTTTAAAACGCTACTCCTTCTACAGTTTTGGTCTGATTTCAATATAACTTGGCACACAAGTAGACTACACTATGATACATAGAATAGTGCATCGGTTTTTGATTTCGATGAACGGTGTTGCCATGGTTACTAAAAATAGAATTTTCTGTGAAATTCCTTTAAAACGCTACTCCTTCTACAATTTTGGTCTGATTTCAGTGTAACTTGGCACACAAGTAGACTACACTAAGATGCATAGAATAGTGCATCGGTTTTTGTTTTCGATGAACGGTGTTACCATGGTTACTAAAAATAGAATTTTCTGTGAAATTCCTTTAAAACGCTACTCCTTCTACAGTTTTAGTTTGATTACAAAATAAGTTGGCACACAAGTAGACTACACAAAGATACATAAAATAGTGCAATGGTTTTTGATAAGTACAAACCAGTAGAGCTACAGTCTCGACAGAGACTTCTGGTTTGTATATTGCAGCAAATGCATTCAAAATAATATACTTTTCGGTATAGTTCTAGTTAAAATTTTTATTGAATTTTTCACTTTTCAAACATGTATTTGGTCAGTTTATAGACTTCTACAAATATGCTATCGGAGACATGTACATGTCGAAAGCAAGGCTATAAAATCACTCAAATGAAAACATGTACCAGGCGTTGTATAGCAGGTACATGTTGCCAAACATTTTCAAATAAATACGGAGGAATGGAAGAAATATCGCGGACAAAGGCGTACAGGAACGTAGTAGGTCGTACAAAGGTGAAAAATGATGCCTTTTTAAGAGTTTTATCAGCTTTAATGTGATAAACTTCACAATTTATCTCACTCTGTGTAACATTCTATCTGTCACCTACCTAGTGTGCCCGCTGTAGGTCCCGCCAGAAAAAGTTTATACTTCTCTGTTTCGTCAGATATGGCGAACTTTTCGTACAACTCGTACAGACTTGTACCATTCTGGAGAGTGATGGAGACATAAAGAGACGAGTTGTTTCCCCTTGTCAACTGATGAATTACGTCATTTCCTGTATAACGATTAATAGGTGTATTGCAATACACATTGTTTTTAAGAAATGTTCCCCCGAAATCAGATTACATTCTTTATGTATTTCAACTAATAAGCTGACCGTTCATGGTAATTCATCATGTTCACAGAACATTAATTCTTTCTCTTGCCCTCGAGAATATTTATTTTTTCATAGACCATAAAGGAGGACACAACACAAGCATTGTAATGCATTTTAGCAAGATGTTCCGTTTTCCTGCACATATCAATTCTTGTCCAATTCATTTGTTTTAGGAACTATTGATGAGAACTGACATGTACATACATGTACATGTATTACCTTGTGTTAAAATCAAATCTTAATTTTCTTTGTTAAATTATATGTTTCTGAATAAATCATTTGTCAAACATGAATTTATCATAATGGTCCAGTTTTAAGAAGATTTATATTTACCAATCCAATCATTCTCTTCCGGTGTACCGAAACCTGTCTTGTACCACGTCCAGTTCTGGTAAAAGCTCAGGGATCCATCTACTCGTTTTTGTATTACCTTACAAAAATTAATACATCAATAATAAAATAAATTCATCTATTTATTCATCCAGTTTTTATAATGACAAAAATATATATGTGAAAAGTGATAAAGATTCAGATAGTAAGTTTCTTGTCCCCTATCAATTGTACGACAGAATGAGAGATTCTAATAAACATTTCCTTTGCAAATTTTAAGGCTTAATTCATAAATATAAATACTGTCCAGCCTCCTCCCATTGTTTCCATGTCACAGTAGGCTGGGACTGAATCGGAATCGGCACCATAAGGGTAAATCTCGTATACACCGGAATCAGTGTGACCATTCTCACGGAGTTCCTTACAATCAGCAGCAGGAACTAAATCAGAAAACAATACATGTACAGATTCTCGAAATATATGCAAGTTTGAAAAAGGAGGACCCTTAAAATCTTTTTTCCCTCTTCATCTGTAATTTAAAGCTTAATGTAATTAAGAAAGTCTTGCATAGCTTTCTTAAAGAAATATGCACGCTAACTCTCGATTCCCGCCTACCTTTTGCAACCATTTAATTCAATCTAAATGGTAATTTGACCATAAATTCTTTGAAATGCAAAGAATAGTTCAATAGTAATTGATGAATTGTCTACCGGCTCTAGATATTAAATTTTACCCAACTCCAGCTATATTAATAAATATGTTACATTTGTAAATCGCTTTGAAATTGGTGGAAAATACGCATTTTTTGTCAATAAACATATGCCTCAATCCCCGTGACACACAAAAAGCTTAGGTATGAATTTGTGAACTTACAGTCAATATTACATGCCAGTTTTTTTTTAATTTGTGTCATAAGGGGGGGGGGGGGTTTTAAAATATTTTTTGTTGATTTCTGTAGTGAAGAACACAAGTTGTACCAAAATTTTAGAGTTATGTCTTTTCTTTTTACAAATAAGTAGTTTTTTTTATTAAAATCCATATAATTATCTTTAAGAAATATTTTAAATTGATCGAATCGGTTACCTTCTGAAAATCGACTTGGAGGAAGGTGGGCGAACAATACTATCGTTATAGCAGTTCTTGCATTAGAAATGCTTGTGTTCTGTAGTTTGATTGATTGATTGATTGTATATTGTTTAACGTCCCTCTCGAGAATTTTTCACTCATATGGAGACGTCACCATATGCCGGTGAAGGGCTTCAAATTTTGACCTTTACTCGGCACTCAGGGCCATTGAGCAGTGAGGGATCTTTATCGTGCCAACGCCTGCCGCTGACACATTGAAATTTTCATTCTCCGTCTTTATTGGTGCATTATTCAGTCCAGAAGTATTAGCAGGAGTTGAACATACGAATATTAAGGGTACATCTTCTATAGAACAGGAAAGGTTTTCGGCGCTTCCAATATTATTCAAAATATTTAATTGTGCCAGATTGCTTTAAAACTTGGGATATCTACTTTCCATTTTTGATTGGCCATTGAAAACTCAACTCACGATATTATACATTAACAGAAATCCTTTTAATATACCGTTACAGTTGTAGAATGAAATCATATAGTACTAGTATTATTCCTCCCTTAATATTGCGTGTTTACAGAATATTAATCTTATTGCTTCCCTTGTGTATTATAGGCTTTGTTGGTTCTTCTCGGGAAAATGCTGAAATTTAATCACATACGAATGTGTTTAAAAGAAATCCTCCACTTAGGAACAGAAACAAGAGGCCCAAATGCCTTGAATCGCTCTTCTGATAAAACACTGATTTAAGAAAACTGCGGTCAAGGTAAAAAAAATGTCGATGCAGTTGCTTAAATCTCACCAATATCTATCAGCATATGAAGTTTGATTAATATATCTTTGAAACTGAGGTTTGATCTTAGCTAAATGCGAAGTGTGACGGAAGGACAGAAGGCCGGGAGACGGTCGACATGACAAATAATATATGCCCAGGCCATATTCATGGCGGGGCATAAAAAAGAAATAGTAAAATAATAATGTGTTTTTCCGAACCTTCACAAACCAAGTCTGTTAACCAGGTCCCATTTTTATGGCACACGATCATTCCGGATCCTCGCTGTACGAAGGAATCTAAGCATTTAATATGCATTCGTTTTTGTATTCCTATACCTTCCCATTCCTGTACATTCCATTTGGTATTTTCAATTATTTCTACAGGGATCCCACAATCTGATAAAGAAAAAAATTATGTATTAAACCAATTTTAACAATACCTAAGAAAATAAGATTGATTGATTGTGTGTTGTTTAGCGTGCCTATCGAGAGAATGTCTCACTGATATGAAGACGCAACAATTGTCGGTGGAGATCTACACATTTCGTCCTATACTCGGCACTAAGGGCCATTTATCAATGAGGGATCTTTTTCGTGCAAGCATCTACGACTTGTATACGGTCTCATCCTACGACTTGTATACGGTCTCATCCGAAAGACCAGTCTCCCCGGCAAACAGTGGAAAATAAACCTGCTACGTAAAAATCAACTCCTTGCTTCGCGACTGACGCTTTAACCACTGCACCATGCGGGCAACATTTCTAAAATAAGAAAAATACACAAGATGTTTTAAGGTCAAGATCTAGTAAATGACTTTAGACTAATTTTTTGGTGCTAGATTCATTATGACGTCATAATCAATTTCAACTTTCTTTTTCCCGTACTTTACTGCTTTAGCAGAATTATGTAGAAAATAGGGTATTTTCCTGACATTCAATTTTAAATCATGAAAAGTACCCCGGATACCTATATTGAATTTTATTTTAATTTTAAATAAGAGGCCATGAACAAACAAATAACCGTTTTATGAGAGACTGTATGCAATCTGGATACATTTCCTTTGTCGAATATAATAAAAACTCCCATTTTCATGACTGGTTTTCTTAATTTTGCATTGAAAATGACAGTTTAAAATACAGTTTTTCATCTTGTTTACCTACAAATTATGCCCCGAAACACCTTATTTGACAAAGCTAAAGTTGTAAAGCATCAATAAAAGAATTTATTTCTCAAATTTGATAAATCTGTAGGCACCTTTTATTTACTAGATCTTGACCTTAAAGGTGGATGAAACGGGGCGAAAATGATGAAAAGATGTTTGGTTGTTAAAAGAAATGTGAAGAAATTTAACGAGAACGAGAACATCTCGAGCTACAGGTATCAGTCATATTTGTTAACAATTCAGCTTCGTTTTCAAAGCTTTCTGTGCAGCCTGTGTGCTTTAAATCGTTATATACATGTTTAACTAATTGTTATAGATTAACTCTGCAAAGCTGCATTAGATCCTACAGAGATTTTCGTAACTTTAAAGGTCTCGTTCCGTGGTGGGGGGTGGGGGGTCGTGACTGACCTTACATTAGTCTCTACATGAGTTAAAAATCTGGAATGAAGTGTAAAACAACAAACACTTAATCGTACCATCACCAACTGTAACACAGGACTTACATGTAGGATTATACAGTTTCATTGGAAGAACCAGTCTATTCTTCAAATAGATGTATTCAAATTAGCTACGTTAATTTTGGAAAGTCGCTGTAAAATCAGCTACACATGCAGGGCTGATGGCTAGTGAAAAATGTCCTTTAAAATTTCGTTATAGCCAGCTCACATAACCCTGATCACGTGACTGTCATACAGTGTTGCAGGTAAAAACGCTGCCATGGAAGTGCATATACTGACTTTAATTTACACTTTATTACTTTTATGAAAACAGTAAATTCTTAAATTCCATAAAGTGCCTTGGATAGTATATATCATTACTAGTGTATTAAGAGGTATTTCATAAGAATTTCATCTTGAGGGTTATTCCTTTCATCGTACGAATGAATATATAAAAGCAAAGCGGTAACAAGTCCATCCGAAGCAAAATTTATTAAGGGAACATTTTTCCCTGATGATTTTTCACAGTTTTACCATAGCCAGTTGAATAATGTCACAACGGTCTTGTTAAAGTTGAACACTTCTCATAAATAGGCACCGTCAGACGGGTTTATGTAATAGTAAGATCATATGAAGAGAAATCTTCGTCACGAAGAATGGGCGGAGCGAAGCGGAGCCCATTCTTCGTGACGAAGATTTCTCTTCATATGATCTTACTGACTTAGAACAGAACCTCAGCCAATCAAATGAATGGATTAAAAATAAACTCCTCCCACGGCTGTGTCATATATAAGGCTCAACTTGACCGCTCGTTGTACATATCGAGCACGCAATCAATATCGAACACACGCGGTTTCAGAATGGACTCCCAACCAATTCAGGTTAGCACGGGATTATATGAAATAGCTTGATTCAGGCACGTAGCAACTTGGGGGGGGGGGGGGTCCAGACATAACTTTTCCTATCGAAAATGTTCATTGAAAGGCTGACCCCCCTGCCACTTTTTACTACAGTATATGAATATGAAGGTAATGTAGTTTTGTAGTTTTGGGGAAAATGGAACTGGAAGAAATTGGTATTAAAAAAAAAACGATGCTATGCAAGTGATTTAATGGGGAAATGGTATGGGGAAGATATTAAAGCTACTGAACTAATGAATATCCTTGTAACAAGAATCTATATTTTTGAAAAATGATTGTGTTAAGATGACAAGACCCTAGTCAGCAGGAGTAGGTATAGTAGTAGTCTAGAGTCAAATAAAAATTTGATGAAAATTGTGACTTAAATCTGTATTCAAAGACAAGGTTCATCTCTTATATACATGACGATGGTTGTATTTTCTGTATGTACCGAAATGTGAAAAAAAATAATATTCAGAAAGGCGACAAAAGATAACTGTGGAAAAAAAGTGTAGCAAGGTCTAGAAAGTTTTGATATCATTGTAAACAGCACGTGGCTTTGAATAGTTTCTTTTTGTGTGCTAAACAAAAACCAATGAAGACACACCCATATAACTGTCAACTGAACCAATCAGACACCGTTAAATATTTCAGAAATAGAAGAATTCTTCACCATGAAGAATCGATTCTTCGCGAGAAATAGATGCATTTGATTGGCTGAATAAGTACAGTACTGGCAACGCGGATCCCGTATTTCCCGCGTCCCCGCCGCGGTATAATCACAACGCGGTATTTGGCCAGGTAGACAGGTAAACCGCGTTCCCTCCGCGGGAAATTCATCACTTACCTGTCCCCGCCGCGGTTAAATCATCGATCAATTACTGACAATTAGTATCGTAAACAAACGGGAGTTATCTCCCCGAATTGTAATTTGCGAATTTTCCCTGTAACCAAAAAAAAAAAAAAAAAAAAAAAAAAACGTGTGTTTATTAATTAATTTTGCTATGAATAGAATTTAAACTAAGAAAAAATAAGTTTTTATTGTTTCTAAAATTACATATCAATACTTGAAATTGAATAGAAAATTTTATTAAATTGTTATGTCTTTGCAATGGTTAATTATTTTGTGTTATTAAGAATCTATCAAGAAACAAAATTAAATACTAGAAATTTTAATTAGTTTTTTTTTTTTGTTAAATCTTCATATTATATGCAAACTGTAATAAATGTTGAACTCAGACTGTTTAAGTTTCGATAAACATTTTCAGCATTCATTTGAAAAAAAAAAAAATGATGTACATCTTATAAAAAATGTACATCTTCATATTGTTTATTAATTAATTTCGATTTATCGTATATAAAATGTACAGGCTTTTTCTTAAAGTGTCAAATTACCGGAAAACATCCGATGACGAGCATTTGCAGTTACATGTAGTGGGCACGTGAACTTAAATTTTCTTTATCCAATATACCAAGAAAAAAACTCTTTTCTTCTTTATTTCTCATCGTTTATGTTCTGTTCCCAAATTAAGAAAACTTTTCTTTAATTTACTTCCCTCTTTTATATAAATGTGCAGGCATTTTTCTCGAATTGTCAAATGACCGAAAAGTATTCGATGGCGAGAGTTAACTTTGAACTTTACACAAGAGATCAAGAAAAAATATCGTTTTCCACCTTCATTTTAACATGTATTACTTTTTAAAAAAATGTCTTTCTTTTTAATTTTAATATTTCTCGATTTTCGTGTTCAATAGATAAGATAGGATGTGCAGGTGTAATGATAAACTTCACAGACGAAATTATAGTCTTTATTAATAAATAATCAATGCAAAAATTCATATATTTTTGTTTTCTTTGACAAATTCTGTTTCTTTGTGTATTAAGTATTAGCCGCGATCATTTCCTGTGTATAGGGATTAGCAGTGCCTGAGCAGAAAACGACATGCCCTGGGGGTTTCACACCTGTCTTAGAGTATACCTTGGGTACCGCTCGCTGGATGTGCACATCGTTGTCTAGCCATTCAACAACACATTTGATTCATTATTTCATTAGTATTTCATCGATATCATTTTCAGATGCGATATTATAGCCTTGGCATTTGTGTCAAATTACTGTTGCTTTTTTTAAACGGAGTGTATAAAAAGAATAAAAGTAAAAAAAAAAAAAAAAACTTTTAAAACAAATTAATGAAGTATTTGATATTAATTAAATTAAATAATGATCCATTGCTATGTTATTTCGTGTCTGTTTATATCTGTACCAGTTAGTAGAGAGAGAGAGAGAGAGAGAAGAAAAATATCACAATATTAAGGCACGTGCATGATCGTTTTTCCTCGTTTTTGATCAGTATATCAATTTCTTAAGTCTAGCGAATAAAACTACCGCTGATTTATCAGTTTATTGACCATTTGTGGATTTTGTCTAAGTTTTATTGTTATTTATCGAGAGACTTGTTTATGATCCACTTTCTTCTTTCGTTTAGCATATGTACATGACATGTAATTTGAATTACTTCCCTTTTTGTCGCCAGATTACAACGACAGATTTGGGTGGTAAAAAAATGTATTTTTGTTATAAAATTTGATTAAGAAAAACACAGTATATTGAAATTGTCGAATTATTGAAAATATTTATTTGAAACAAAAAATTTAAAAAGGATTCTGTCTGCAACAAAAACATTGAATTCTTTATTTCATGCATTTCAATCCATGAGCTACACATGAAAAAAAAAACCGGCTTCGTTTTACAATGTTGTAGGAAAACGCATACAGGTAATACACTCAGGTAACAGCCTGTGTATATATAGGTAGTATGTACACTAGACAGCGTCGTTCCCTCGGGGCTTCTCATCTGCTTCGAGTAAGCTCCACTCCACACCAAACTTACCTGAGGAAAA